AGGTATCATCTTTGTCAAAATATAGGAGTGTCTGAAACAACAATGCGATTACACTTCAATATTACTTTGCAGTAACAAAGGAATCCAAACACTACACAATCACCAACTTTGCCAGCCTGGTAGAACATGCTCGAATTATCTTCTCAGCCTTTTGCTTATATTCCTTTTTATCGAGAAAATCGAACAGACGCACTAGATTTCCCACGGCCACCGAATTAGCACAAGGCTCTGCACCGTCTTGGTCTGAAAATAGAGTAGTCCTCTCACTAATGACCACAAGCAGCTTCGAAGTCATTGCAAATTATACTGATTAGTGGACTGTACTGTATCAAAATATAATGCTATAGCCAAAGACTAATGGACATTAAACAGAATAACGGGAGTCTCCGTTATTTCTCGGGCCACATTCAGTGCCACATGCCTCCTACAGTGTTGCTACATCCTATCCTTAAAAGAAAAATGAGCCCGAGAGTTTCTTACTTTACTTCGTTTTACACTATCCGCACTCGTTTCTGCTTCCTCTTATCGCCAGCTCTTCTAATGCGCCACTGGAGAGAACAATGCTCGAAAATTGGCGAGCTTCCTTTCAAGGAACGATATCTACAGCCGTGACATTTATCAGCATCGAGATAGGATATCTTATTATCGCCGCCAGTAGCGGAGGTGTCAAGGGTCAGGGATGAGACCACCCACGGCTTTTTCTTCACTGGTTGTCTTTTTCTGAATCGATTATTAACCGATGACTGCTGAGGTAGAAGCAGCTGGGGAGCGGGCTCCTGCCCCTTCCGACTCCCTCCCCCCTTCTGAATGAGGCGATAACAACTGTACGCAATGACGACTGCCTAAAAAGTGAGCAGGATGCGCACCCGCTCAATCCAAAGTTTCTTTGACAAGTGTGGCCGCGGGTAATCAAATACGAGAGATCACGGCTTCCCTTTCTTCCAAATGCCACCATTTGTTTCTCTCGGGACCACATCGAGCACGACCTGTTTCCTACCTGGGCGGTGTGATCTTCAACGTACAAATGAGCGTGTTGCGTGGCAACTGTCTTATATGGCATTACCTTAGCGTCCATGACAACTCCTTGATCGCCATGCCTGATAAGCACGAAGTCTATTTGTGTTCTGGTATCCTCTAACTATGGAAGTCTATACTGTAAGGTGAATAGGTGGGAGTCATGCCTACGGAATTTCACATTTGCATGTTCTGGAATGCGCTCACCACTGACATACGTGTTCCATAAGCGAAATCACTGCGACAACAACCGTCTTTCCCAGCATGAACATAATCTTTTAGGTCGCTAGCGACAATGTCAGCGTCTCCCGACAGTATCTCAGCTCTGCTCTCCCAAGTAGAGACCAGGACTCGGTCTTAGCGGTACAGTGGTTGCTTAACAGCGAATACAGGTCATCGAGCCAGCAAATCGAGTCGTGGAAACGTCGAGAAACAATTATGGCCACACGGTTGGTAGTCCTTGGCTTGCCACAAAGAGTGACTTCAAAGCCGCGACCAATGTCTCTCGACTTGCATATGGACCATCTTGTCTCCTACATCGCGCAGATCCAGTGCCTTTGCCAACTCACGTGAGCATCCCGTCAATGTTCCAATGTTTAACGCTGCAGTACAGACTTACGCTGAGTTATGAGACACTTGGACTAGCTTAGTTGCCTCTGCCCCATCCCGGCCGTCCCTCGATGCTGTCCTTGCATCGAGACCATCGCATACTTTCCACACTCACCGGCTTTGCGAGTGGCCGTCGGCTTCTCCGACGTCGTAGCACTGATTCGGAGATTTTGGCATTACAAAGCATGACTGATGTGACATGGGACTTGCAGGTTGTCCTGTGAGCTCGCAAAAAACGAGCAGTTTACAGTGGACCTTGTGAGGAGGACGGATCACACTACCCTTTCTTACTCTTTCTGCCCTATGTTCGTCCTAGAGTCTTCAAGAATGGCTCCAGTATTCAGTATTTCGTCCCGTCAATAACTTCGATCGGAGAACTCCATTTTTTTTCAGGAAAAGATTTTTAAACGTGCTTAATTTGAGCAAACGAAGTTCTCATGGGCAACTTAAAAAAGTCTGAAGCCACTAAGAAGACTTTGATCTGTTTAGTTGTTTTATATCCAATAGAAACTGACCTTCCATGACGCGAACTTTTACATCGACTTGTTCGCTGGCAATATAATAACCAGTTTCCTTTTCTTTATCCCAAAACAGTGTGTCCTTCAAAGTACAGCTCTTAAGATGTGCAAGACAACACAGTTCTCAGCATAACAATGTACCATCTCTTTCTGCAGGCCGTCAGCCATTTTCAAGTACTGTAAATCTGCAGTAATCTGGTAGAGTTCCAGAAGGCCTTGAATGAGAAAAGCGTAATCGTCGGAGAATGTCAAAAAAAAACCCAGAGGATTTCTGAAATCACATTCGTAATCAATTCATTTTATGAAATAGCATCAAACTTACGTGATTCCCACACTGTCATCATCTCCTCTATAAGCATTTTTTTGGCTGCTCGTAGCAACTGTCCATTTTCTTCCATCAGGTAACGCTTCACAAATTCGACCGCCTTTACAGCTCGGTCAATGTAATCTTTGCGTCCCAGCGCAGCTGCTGCCTGAAAGAGGCAGACACTGAGATGCAGGAGAAACTCAATGATAAAAACTGTCACTGAAAAAGTTGGCATTACTATAGCGTAGCAGCTTACCTTTGCCAGTCCAGCAATGGCTAGTCCCTGCCAGGAGCAAACCATTTTCGAGTCCAAGTGAGGTGGAGGGCCGCTCAGAGCCGAACTTTAGCCAATGTTAACTGAAACGCCAAATTAAAAATGCATCGGCATTATCAGACCGAAACTATTCGCGACTGTTACTCGAAATAAACTGCTGAATGAACCGCATCATAGGGTAAGCTGTCCTGGTCATCTATTTCGAAGTCAACTCGGTCACAGACACGACTCCTACTTGACGGTTCTACTTGGCACGAGCTAAACGACAGAATCCCGCTCAGAGCAGGCATACCACACCAAATGCACGAAGACCAATACCGTTCCTAGTCTTCGAAAAAGATGAACCTATGGATATTTTGCCCCGAAATGAGCTACCGCGAATACATAATCCACCATTATCTGAAAGCAGCAATCCATTCCACATATAGGCTTCAGGGGGCAGGGCATGTAGGCGCGGTGAGAAACTGTATAAGCTCGATGCAGGTTTATGGCAAGCTGGCGAACGCCATTAGGTGTTCGAAGATGCCCATCGCACGAGTCCACAGAGAATAGGAGTCTTGTTCTCTATCCCTTCGACGTCCATTCCTTCATCCGGCGTTCACCGTTCCCTCAACGAGGGCTCATACAATGCCCAAAATCAAAGTCTCTGTAGAAATGGGAGCCCATCGAGGAGAGGGCTTTTGTATTTTTCGTCTCGCTTTTTCTCCACTGAGGAGATTTCGCACCTACAAATCTACGGTTGCACGTCACAACATACTTTCGCAGATTGTGCCTGTAAGCGCTATCCTGCACAGCTGGCGCGAAAAATGGTTCACAGCACGACACGATTCCCTTGCTGGTCGAAGACGCTAATAAACATTGTATTATAGTCCCTTGAGCCTAAACACTAACTCGAGATTCCCAATTCACCGTCCTCATAAAAGCTTTAAAAAGGAACACACAACGTGGAAGATCTGGGAAATGTCCCTCTCGGCGTCAAGGGGAGGCACTAGGCCAAGTAACTATGATAGATGGAAGTGTTCACTGAAAATGAATAAATAACAGATGGAGCTTTGGGCGTAGATCAAGTCCTTTGTGGGACTGGGACAATTACGGTATCAACTGACAGTTTTCCGAGAGACTTGATCGCTGCGGGTGATAGCCGAACTGAGGTTCGTCTCAGCCGAACTGAGGTTCGTCTCCCGGAACGTGCATGTAGTAAGCGAGCCAATTGTTTCTACACTACCTCCACCTGTACTCAATACGGACAAGTCCCAGGGCAGAGGATTGTCTGCACCAGTGATTCGAACCGAAGACATCAAGTATATGGAGCAAGCTGCCTACCCATTACACTACCAGGATCTTCGCACAGCCGTCGGCTAAGGTTCTCGTTAGTGAAATGCATAAAGAGTGTTCTGCGCCCTCAACATGAAACCACAAGTGGAAAGATAAAAGCTCACCTTGGCGTTTTCAATTCCAGCAGAAAGTTACATCACTTTTGGTAAACCAAACGGCAATCAGCAAAATTCGATGTGAGACTTCTTATTCTCCAAACATTTTTACGTGGTTTTAGTTCTCCGATTGCGAATCGCTGGAACAAGACATTTATCTGCCTCTGGGAGCATTTCATCCGCATGGCGACGGACATACGAAAATTACGAAACCAGCGGTACAATTAGAAACACGTGGTACACATGACAGCTTTATTATGCTGGAGCGCTGCTGTTTACTCACCTTAAATCGGTCTACATTCCCGTTCTCATGAATGTCGTAATAACGACAAAAAATATCCACAGCATCCTTATCTCCAATTTTTTGGTCCTTCAAAACCTCTCGGCCAATGCTGAAGCTGACAGAGGTTTCTGTTCGGTGTGCACTTAACATGAGCACTGCCACAAAACAGAAGTGAACTCACTTTCTGACATTCCCACACACAAAAATATCCTTCCCTCTTCTTGTCGGATGTCGCCGTTGGTAAGGAATCTGCGTCCTCTGCAGCGTAAAATCCACCTTCCTACAGTCATTTGCAGAGATTGAAGAGAAGACGAATTGAAGATGAAAGATTCAAGCTGATGAAAGGCATGCAATGCCGGCTGACTTCTTCGCATGGCCCCATATACATCTAACAGAACAAGCGGAGTCGCAATGCTTCATTTTGGCGTAACTGAAGGCACTTTCACTATTGCTTAGCCTAAGTGGTCGCACTCAAGAATAACAAGGAGGGTGACACCTAACAAAGCCTTCTATTCCTTTACACGCCACTTTCAATGTTAAAAGCCTCATAACTTCCTCTTTTCGTATGCCTCTACGCCCCCCCCCCCTTCCCTGCTAGGTCAACAGGTTCAATATGATTGAGAACCACCGCGGCAGGAGAAAACCCAGCATTCCGGATCTGTAAACGTTGAGCCTAAGCTGCGTTCATTCTTTGTGGCAGCGTCCACTAACGACCTTTGGTGGCGTTGCGAGCATCCGGCAGCGTCAGCAACTAGGAAATTATAGATATCCGCCCACCAAAGCGTCTACCAGCATCCTTACAAAGCGTTCCACCAGGTCCATAAAGCCGCGCCCGCCAGCGACCAACAGCATCTCGAGGATAGGGAAGTGTAGGTATCAAGAGCCACCAGCAGCGTACGAGAGTGGAGAATGGGGCGTTATATATCCGGAAGAATATGGGGCAACAAACAGCTGGTAGAGCATGGGGGATAGGAGGGTTGCATGCTCATAGAGAAAAGGAGGCGAATAGGAGAATAGAAAAACTCCGTGGAATCATGGATATGATGAAGGCGTTGCCGGATTGTGTCTAGATACGGTTGGCGCGATGGGGAGAGGGTACCAGCTGTCTTGTGCTCTCCTCTCGCCTCGCACTCCCCACTTCCGGACGCTGCTGTCGCTGGATCGATACATACACTTTAATAGTCGCTGACGTTGTCGAATGGACGTGGTAGCTAGCGAGCGCTAGTAGACGCTGCTGGTCACTAGCGGTAGCCTTATCAAAAGGTGATCACTAGGAAATGAAATGAGCCGCCCGAGAAAAGCTGATCTAAGGGGCTCTAAGCTGATCTAAGGCCAAGGTGAAACAATACATTTAGAGAGCATGAAAGATTACAGACCTAATAAGAAAAAAAGTAACAGCACCTTGTGAGATAGGCTCTCTTCCATGTAATCAGCTATATCGGCTACCACGGAGTGGAACCTTTCGCCAAAAAGTCGGCAGAAATCAGCATACACACCAAGTAACTGAGTTTGATCATACAGCATTTTTTCGAAGTGGGGCACATGCCACTCTTCGTCAACGGAATAGCGATGAAAACCCTGGAAGTAGTTACCTCAAAAATCGCACTGTATACAGTG